TTATTGAGGTGAATATTTCAAAACTGCTATATGATGAGTATTATAAAAAGGCTTGTAAAAGTTGATTTGTATGTTCTATCAAACTTTGATATATTAAAACGTCTTAAGTATTGGTTGTTCCACTATTTTTTGACAAAATTGACTACGGTTGATGTATGTAAGACATTTAATATACTTTAACAGACGGTAAGATAGAAAAAGATGGTACATGCAATTAAAATTCTTCAATTCACTCAATGTGTATTTTCAAATGATATTTAATTTTGATACTAAATGAAAGCGGATATATTAATCTTCCATTTCATAGCAAATATTTGCAGAATCGGATATCTTCATTCAGAAATTAATTATAAGCGTACCCGTGTTTGGTAATGAAAAAAGAAAAAATTCAGACAATCACCCTTTACCGCGATTTTACAAAAAACTGAACCGTGGGAAATCTCTACGTCAGGGCTAAAATGATAGTATAATGTATACTCTATCATCATGTGGATTTTCAGCCGCGAGGTATGTCGGTCCATTAAACTTTTAAAATAAGCGACTTTTTCTTGATTTGTCACTCCACTATTATGCATATAGAATAGCAGTGGTGAAATACTAATACATCGTCAGAGATAACTTGAATAACGAATGTCTTTTATAGAGATTGAGTGATGATACATACAGTCAGAGATAAGATAATTGTTTTACATTTGTCATTTTGGGGCCTTTTATAGCTTACTATGCGATATGGGTTTTATTCATTTTTGAAGGCCGTACGCTGACATATAGTTGTTAACTTCTATGTCACTTTGTCTCTGGTGGAGAGTTGTATCATTGGAAATCATACCACATCTTCAATTTTTGTACATAAAGAAACCATACTTAATCTTATTTAAAAATGCAAGTTAACCCTGAAAAATAAAGGCATCTTCTAGGTGTGTTTAATGCAGATATTATATGTCATATCGAAATAATTTATAACTGAATATGCGTTTGAATCCTTAAAATAATTCTATATAGATATCAAACGATTTACAGACACACTGAGTGATATTCTTTGTGGTATGTGACCCCCACCCCGACCCCACCACAAACACAAAAAATTAGACTAAAAGTTGAAGTAGCAGGTGCACAACTTCATACCCCACCTAAACAAGAATCAGTGCTTGTTTCTGGGAATTCTGTCAATATGTTTTCAAGGAGTTGAGGCAATCTGTATTCATTCAAGCGAATTTAGAGGGTCTAGTTGACAGAGGCCTAGAGCGTTTTTAGCGACGAAATAGGACGACATCTTAACAAATTAGGCGAAACAAAAACGTTTTTATTCATAAGCAAAAAAAGCACAACTTAGTAACAAATTATTTTTCTTAATGTCAATATCCGTATTCAACGGACATGCGATTGCATAAACAGGATTTTTAAATTGGGTACTGGACATGAGCTATACTAAATTGGCAGTTAGTCCTGCTTCTCTCTGTCTGTCACACAATCGTATAAAACAACAAATCAACACCTTCATTATATTTTGGCTAATTTACAAAGGATAAGTTATGATATGAAAACTGAGATTTGTTTGAACAAACTGATATAAATATAAAGTTTAGGTTTCAAACTGTTTCTACTCTAAAAGCCTGATTGAAGTTTGTTGTCTTGGGTGTAAATAAATTGAATGTGATAGCCATTGACCAAACCATATAAACCAGTGTAATTGGTTTTTCAAAACGGTTTTAGTTCGGGATTAACAAATAAGAATATAGCTTAGGGTTTTGAACTATTTTCAAACTGGCTACAAAAACAAATAAGCATGATTCATTTCATTTAACTTCTTTAAAACAAAGACTGCTTTCACATGTGATGTCGATTTTAGTCAGGAAGCTACTTCTTATTTCCAAAACGGCACCTCAAAAAGGAACATACAGTGGTTGCCTCGTATTTATCATGTTGTAATGTTATCTATCGGAAGAGAGGGGTGGGAGAAAGTGGAATGATTTCTTGAACACAAAAATTATGCCCAACATTGAACAGCAGTTTCATTATAAGAATCCATGTCAGTTTTTATACATCTTATAAAATAAATGAGGTAAAATCATATATCTTCATATAACAATTGATCTTATATACCAAACAGGCGTTTAGGTTCACGATTGCATTTCTTTTTTTTTAAAGAAAGCAACTTCTTATCTGTTTTATATGATCTGTGTATATTGTATCATTATGAAAGAAATTAATTACGTCACCTGTTTTGTTGGTTGTTTGCTAGTCTAAAGTTTCGTGTTTTGATAAGCTCCCTGTTATCCCTCCGATTAATCAAGACTACAAGTTGCATGTACTAATTTTCATAGTTTAAATTTTAATCTATTACTTTGTTATCAATCTAGGCACATTATATTCCAAAGTGGAGCTTTGTCGGAACTGTTGTTACAGGTGAGGATATAATTGGCTGTGTATACCTCACTGAGTTCGATAGCGGTGCTACATTAACTATATATGATAGGTCGTTAAGTTGTCGAATCATTGATTTTTACCAAACATTTCCTATTATTGATACGAATGGATGAATGAATCACCTTTTAAAGTCCAGTGGCAAATTAAATGTATATTCGGGACGAGAACATGTTAATGCGATATGAATATGAAACCTGCTTTGTACTAGACCGACACGCTGAGTCGGATTTTTAACGTGCTAGTTCACGAGGTAACAGTCCGCAAGAAGTCACCCTACCCGGACACATTGTTTTGATTCCGAGCGCACCCGTCACAGTTTTTGCTCTTACTCCTTAATGCCGCGTGCTTAATGGAGTAGCAGCAAATATCAAATTTGAAGTCTTTGGTTAGCAATACACAGGTAGGAGTTTGGTTTCGCATTTTGGCCCCGGTGGATTTTTCAAATATGAAAGTTATTGTGTAATAAAATTCATTTTTAGACAGCTGAGTACTAATTTAGCCTTCAAATGTGGTTTATAAGAACATCAAGATTATTTTTTACATGTTTTATGGGCTATTTTCTGTTTGACTCTCCGTATTTTCATAACTAGACCGGTCATCGGTCCAGAAATTAATGTAATGTTTACAAACACTTTTTTTCTACACGAAGTTTTTGACGCAATTTTACAAAAAATGAGATGAAAGACATATGATTTTCATTGGATTTATTGAAAGATATATGTAAACAGTTTCAGAAAAGGTATTACTTGAAGTGATTGAAATTCTACTTTTGGTCAAATTTTTGGGGAAATATGTGACATCTTTTCCCCCTTTTTTGCTATATTTTATAACAAAAAAATGCAGATTGTTGCCATGGATACACCAAAAAGAAATTATATTTTACCATCTTATATACTGGATATGAAATCTATGGAAGATTCTGATTACATACATATGCACATATATGACACAAACAGTAAGCTTTATATTGCAAGAAGGCAATGAAAAGGGGATGGTAAAATTTATGAGGGAAAATTTTAATATTTTTTCCTAACTGTTTATTGCTACCATAATTATGGCATACTTACCAAGCTCAGAATTGTATAATTTAAGACTTTTCATACCACAAATCTATTGATATTTAGATTCTAAATCAACTTCTGAGGGGATTAAGTGTTTAAGAATGAGAATGCATGTCAATTTTATTGTTTACAGTCCTTAGCAACCAAAATTAGACATTTTGACACAAGGCTTATAATTGTACTCTATTTGCTTAACCCTTGCTTCTGAAGGATTGCGCAGTATGTAGTAGCCTAAGTATTGAATTTTTGTATTGTTTCTTGCGAATATATCAAATTATTATTTTTATCAAGATTTCATGTTACATTTTGACATATATTAAATGTATAGTTGATTCAGCTGTAAGAAATTGATTCCCCATTACCAAGTTTTTTAATCAAGTCTTTGATATACATTAAACATAAAGATTAACATTTTCATGCTTGAAATTGTTGAATTTTGTACAATTTCCATCATCAGAGGTCTTATAAAGATTTTCAACATTATAAAACTGACAAAAGAGGTATAGTTTTTAAGATTTTGCCAAAAATTGAGGTAGAAACAAGATTTTACACTTTGACTTGGCACCTTTCTTTAAATCAGTTTTTGTCGCATTTCATTGTCAACTGCTAACCTTCGTAAAATATTCATTGCTCAACCAATTTTCAAAAATAAAAGGCCATTTTACTCGTATTAGCTAGCAGAACACAGAAGATTAGTTAAAAGGGAGAATTTGAAAAAAAATATTTACTATTAAGGTAGCAATACACAGTTAGGAGTTTGGTTTCGCATTTTACAAAAAAATGAGATGAAAGACATATGATTTTCATTGGATTTATTGAAAGATATATGTAAACAGTTTCAGAAAAGGTATTACTTGAAGTGATTGAAATTCTACTTTTGGTCAAATTTTGGGGAAATATGTGACATCTTTTCCCCCCTTTTTGCTATATTTTATAACAAAAAAATGCAGATTGTTGCCATGGATACACCAAAAAGAAATTATATTTTACCATCTTATATACTGGATATGAAATCTATGGAAGATTCTGATTACATACATATGCACATATATGACACAAACAGTAAGCTTGATATTGCAAGAAGGCAATGAAAAGGGGATGGTAAAATTTATGAGGGAAAATTTTAATATTTTTTCCTAACTGATTATTGCTACCTAATGCCGCGTGCTTAATGGAGTAGCAGCAAATATCAAATTTGAAGTCTTTGGTTGATAGGAAAGTAGAAATGTAAAATATAACGCATGATAATTCGGACAGGCAGTAGGAAATCTGTATTTAACCCAACTAAAGCATTAATATTTTGTACATTTCAAATGTAAAATGAACTTTAATATACATTTTTTTCCCGAAGCAGGAGTTGAAATCATTTTTATTAAAAAGTTCAGCCAAAAAATGGTGCTACAAATCCAAGGAACTTAGAATCACTTTCATGTGACCTCAGAATTAAAATTAGATGGAATCGTGAAACTTTTATCTGTCTTTAAGATAAGATAGCATGCGCCTGTACATAAGTGAAACTCGTCACTGAATATTTCACATACTGACCATTCTCATTGAGTCTATAGGATTCTTTTAAAACATGAAGATCGCCATAATTCTAGTTGCTTGCATGATTGGTGAGTTTAAAAAATAATAATCTATTAGGTTTACGGCGTTTTCTTATTATTTTCACATTTTTTTGGATTGTGGTATGGTTATTGAAAGGGAATTTAAGTTGTTGTCCATTCGTTTGATGTGTTTTATCATTTGATTTTGCTATTTGATTAGGGACTTTTCGTTTTGAATTTTCCTCGGAGTTCAGTATTTTTGTGATTTTACTTTTTTTTTATGACCAGATTTAATAAAGTGGAAATTGGTTTTATTGATAAAGGAATCCGTAGTTTTACTATCAACTTTCACTAAGTAATCAACAAATTGGGGAAAATACAGTTAATCGAATAAACGAAATACCGGATCGACTTATAAACTCCTATCGTCAAATGGCATGAACGATTAGATGATAATAATTTCCTTGACAACAACTTATCGATGTAAGTTTCGAGTTTTTTTTGTTTTTTTGTTTAAATACAATGATCTGTAAAATGAACTAAATTTAAAATACAGAAACTTGGCAAATGGCTGGTGTTCGTACATGTACATGTATTGTATTATGCAATAAATACCTGTATGAACAGACACATGCTGCCTTATCTTAAAGATAGACAAAGGTTTCGTGATTCCTTCTTACATTAATTCTGAGTTACAAGGTAAGAAGACATTGTTAAGATTCGCTCTCACAAGCTTATTGTGGAACGTTTAAATAAAAATGCAAAGTGTTCTCCCTTTAATGCAAGATTGCATTACAATTAAAATATCTGTCATATGATTACAGACTCGCGTGTGTATAGACCAGCGCATGTAGCTGTAATTTCCATCACTTGCTTAAATAGATAAAGACTAAAATTAAATGAATTCTATTGTTCGTTTTTAATTAGGACGTTAATCCATGTGTTACCATTACTCAGTGACATATATTAAAAGTCTAAAAATCAAATAAAGAAAATGTATTTATTATAAACTCATTGTTACATACATTATGATATCCCAACTTAAATATATATTTTATACATTTTCAGTATGTCAGAATTTGAAGTGTTTATTTAAGATATCTTGTCGGTATCAACTCTGCATGTGTCAGTGTAATATTCTCTCTGGTCAAAAATCTCTCAGCTGTGCTCATACAAATAGCAATGTCTTCATTTGCTGAAAAATATAATTATATCATTTTAGAAGCTAAAATATAACAATAAACAAGTATATCAGTCATGTTAAAAGTTAAAAGAAAAAAAAACAAATTTTAAAATCTTTGATCTAGTGATGTAGTCACTCATCTTTTACCATTATTTTGTAATGTAAGCACCGGGATCTTGACAGCCACCCATCCTATATCACAACATTGTAATGTAAGCACCAGGATCTTGACAGCCACCCATCTTATACCACAACATTGTAATGTAAGCACCAGGATCTTGACAGTCACCCATCTTATACCACAACATTGTAATGTAAGCACCGGGATCTTGACAGCCACCCATCTTATACCACAACAGTGCGATGTAAGCACCAGGATCTTGACAGCCACCCATCTTATAACACAACATTGTAATGTAAGCACCAGGATCTTGACAGCCACCCATCCTATATAACAGCATTGTAATGTAAGCACCAGGATCTTGATAGCCACCCATCTTATAACACAACATTGTAATGTAAGCACCAGGATCTTGACAGCCACCCATCCTATATCACAGCATTGTAATGTAAGCACCAGGATCTTGACAGCCACCCTGAGGATTTTTTTTAATTTATAAGTCCTTTCCTACCCTCCCACATACATTTTAATGGAATAGCCCTTAGGAATTAATGTATGAATAAGGCAAATAAATTGGACAGATTTTATACAATGTAACACCACCAGTTTGGGCTCGGTCATAAAGAACTTACCGGAAAGTAGTACATATTTAAAACAAAATAGTTCCTACGCATAATTGTAAATATCAAACTATATGAAGAATATGAGTATATTAATAATCTAGCCTAAGGTATCGAAAGCATGTATCTAAACTCGCAGAAACAGCGTCAGAAACAGAGCTTCATGGTAGGTAGACGTGCATCTCTATGTACTCCGTTGTTGTCTAAATGTTTGTAGGGTTTTTGCACGCTTCAGTGTAATTGTTGTGCTAAATTATGACAGTAAATGTTTTCTTTCTTTGACAGATAAAATATTTTAGCATTACTCCATGGCTTTCTTCTTCAATTTACAGTTATGGCGTGATCATCCGTTTGCAAAGAATTTCGCTCAAAAACGGTGCTAGGGGTCGTCTTAAACTTACAATAAGATTAGTGTTTTTGTCTGTGTTGAAGGCCTCACTGTGAATATGATATAAATAACAACAATAAAAGCGCTGGTCCCTTGTGTTTGTTGCTGTGCATGTATGGATTTTGTGTCATGGATTGGTGCCCTATATAATTTTGTTTATCTATTATTTGAATAAAAATTCCGAAATAATTAATTGTAGTCAATACATCCATTGGAAAATCGTTAAGCAGATTGCAGTGAATTTCGTAAACTTTCACGTACAAAATTTACATTTTAGCTATCGTTACCGGAGAGACATGTACAGGCAACACAAACTTGGATTCTCAATGCTCCCATCTCAACTGCGATGGTGGATGGCATTTGGCATGTGTTAACACCCAATGTACATGTGTTGAAAACACAGCTCACAGTAAGTGCACGTTTTAAATTTTAATCTAGAAGCTAGAGAAATCTAACTTTGTGATGATAAATTGTCATAGATGCACATACACGTTGAAAAAAGACCCCCTGCATCCTCTTCGAGTACACCTTTATTCAACATAAATCGAAATGAGAGGGCTAAGGACAATCTCCGGCGCAGAGATCATATCCGTTCCGTTCAATACTACGTAACACTACACTAAGTGTAGTATTGCGAAGCATGTACGGAACGGATATGAACTCTGCGCCGGAGATTGGGCTAAGGAAAGACCTGTATACGATGTAAAACAAATAATAGGTGCAGTTCCTTTCTGAAATTTTTAAGGTGGTACCTAACACTACAGGGAGATAACTCTGTAAAATCAGCTAAACGTTTTAATTACGTTGTATTGTTAAGGAAATATTAAGCTTCTCAATGATCAAAATTAGTGTTTGTCAAACTGCTATATAACCAATGAAATTTTTCTGATAAAGTGGTTGGTTCAAATTTTTTGAAATTTTTATATTTTTGTCAAAGGGTCAAAGTAAACATTTTGTCAAAATTTTATGAAAATTAAACGAGCCAAATTAATATTAGTCAAGGTGTTGGGTACCACCTTAATTATAAATTGGCACCACAACATCCCATCTGAATCAATACGTTCAGAGTGTATAGCCAGATGAGTAGTTCAGACTATTCTTTTTGGTACTCTTGTTTTGACATTGAACTCTGAAGGGTTACCAGTCTGATTATGCATTCTTATCGATCCTGAAAGTACATGGTTACTTAATTATGATAGTCTTCCTAATATAAATTGAAATATTTAAAAAGGCTATGATGCTTTGGTGTTTAGAATACAACCGCCTCGGAGATTACAATGTAGGAATGCACAAAATTGTAAAACGCCTACACGATTAAGTTCGATAATTGTCTTTTAATGAACATAAACATAAATTGATATAATTCATTAAACCAGGTTCAACCCATCATTTTTTCTTAAAATGTCCTGTACTAAGTCAGGAATATGGCAGTTTTTATCAAATAGTTCGTTTCTATGTATGTTGGCGTTTATTTTTGTTGCACTTCAGTGTTCCTGTTGTTCCTTTGTTTTCCTCTTATATTTGATGTGTTTCCCTCGGTTTTAGTTTGTAACCCGGATGTGTTTTCCCTCTATCGATTTATGACTTTTAAACACCGGTATACTATTGTTGCCTTTCTTTATCATACACGTAATGGCATACATGTACCTACTCAAATAAATATATTTGTATGGCGTTAGTTTGTTCAATTTGTTATGGCGAATAAAGAGGTTCAGTTAGATGTGTATGATAAAGAGATTATTAAGACATATTATTTTACATGTCATTCAAGATACCAATTGTCAACCCAATAGCAAGTAGCCTACCGCCTCAAGGTTACTTGGATTACTCGGTATGACAGCAGAAAGATATTGAAAATGGTGTGTTATATTCTATATCAAATAAACGATGTCCTTCATATACATTCATTTCAATTACACAATCACTCTTTTCCCGGGTTATTCACACAATTAAATATCCACATGTATGTACTGTTAATTAATTATCATTTAGTTAGAATTCTAATCGTTGTGTATTAAAATCTGTACTTTAATGCTATATTTATCATTTTAGCCTGTACTACTAAAGCTGAATGTGAGGCCGTTACTTCCTGGGACTGTCCCAATCGTCGTCGTCATTGTGTTGATGGCACTTGCAGATGTACCAGATTTTAATTGTACTTTTGTTATAATAATAAAATTTTGTACGATGGAACATTTTTTAAATTTTTTTGTTGTTGAAAGAAATAGAAAAATGACATGTAATTTGATAAGTTATTATAGCTATATAACAAAATGTGATACAAGCACTAAATTATTGAATTAAGATTATTTACCGTATACAAGAATTAAGGGGTTTGTTTTACTACCTAGTGTGACTCATGTGTGAATGTTATGTAGAACTTCTGTCACCAATGGCATGATTATTGACCAAACCAGTAACATCGGTTGTACAAGGTACTATTTATTTGCTGAAAACAAGAGAAAGTAAAAAATTGGTGATCATGTGACCCAGCCTGCATGGTAACATTTTTAGTTTTAAACGATCACTCTCAAAACTGTATTCAACCAATAAGTTATATATATAGCACGACTTTTATGAATTAACATATTTAACGCACAAAAGCGTAGCTTTGCGTGGATTAAATATATTATGTAACACTCCCAAACGTGTCCATCCGCCCAAAACGTGTCATTTCCCCCATACGTGTCCATTTCGCCTAAACGTGTCCGATTTTACATCCTCAAACGTGTCCAGTAATTGTTATTCGCCAAATCGTGTCCACTTTAAAACGCCAGAACGTCTCAAATCTTTTAGCGCTAAATTAATTTGTTCCCAGCGACGTCAATGTTACGAAGTATTGAACGGAACGGATATGATCTCTGCGCCGGAGATTGTAACGTTTCCGGTTATTCACTAAAGAGAAATAAACAGGAAAAATAACTTTGCATGTATCATAAGCATCCCTGATACCAGCTTTATAATGTGTAATCTTTCGACAAACATGTATTAATTAAAAGGAAACGGTATGATACGTTAAAACAGTATGCGTAACTTACACGATGTGAATTTAAGTTATTTTTAATGTGTATCATCTTTTTAACTGTCACGTTACGTTTTATTGTTAAAAAGGTAATAATCGACTAACAGAAAATAACGGATTAACTGATTGTTTCTTGATTAACATTTTGTGGCAATTATTTCATAGATATAAGAAGATGTGGTATGAGTGCCAATGAGACAACTCTCCATCCAAGTCACAATTTATAAAAGTAAACCATTATAGGTCAAAGTACGGTCTTCAACACGGAGCCTTGGCTCACACCGCACAGCAAGCTATAAAGGGCCCCAAAAATTACTAGTGTAAAACCATTCAAACGGGAAAACCAACGGTCAAATATATATATAAAAAAAAGAAACGAGAAACACTTATGAACCACATCAACAAACGACAACTACTGAACATCAGATTCCTGACTTAGGACAGGTGCAAACAATTGCAGCGGGTTAAAACGTTTTACCGGTACCAAACCTTCACCCTTATCTGAAACAATAGTGTAACATCACAACATAGAAAGACACACTATAAAATATCAATTGAAATGGCTGAACTCAATCAAAAGACATATTAACACAAGTGAACATACACTGAACGAATAAATTTGATCTATGATACAATGTAAATACAAAATCAATAAAATAAGGGATGAATTATTAAAGTTACAGTATCATACCGCTGTGAAATGTTAAAAAATTTCAGAAAAACAACAACAACCTTAAACAAAAATCCGCTATTTACAATAATATATGCATATTAAGGACAAAAGATTGATTGATTGTTGGATGCTTAACGTCCAGTGGCAAATATTTCATGCTTGTTATGGACGACAACATATTAACAATTAATTCAATAGGTATGACCTGTTTGGGTGTTTTTAAAATATGGTCACAATTAAGCGTTCACAAAAAGGGGACGTTTAGGTTTCCATTGGACACGGTTTGGGGATTGGATACGTTTGGGGGATTTGACACGTTTGGTTGTTTTAAGGGCATACGATACAGTTTTGATCCCATGGTGAATTTTTGACGAAAGTTTGCATACAAGCAATTTTTCACCTAGTAAATTCAAATATGTAATAAAAAATATACCTTGAAGTGGTACTTTTAGAGATAAATGGGGTCGACATTTTTTACATTTACTGGAAATTTCGGTTTCTTGTATATTTCTAGCCTTTGGAAAGACATACCAAACTTTTTTATTTTAAAAGATAAACGCAAGCGGATTTTTGTAAAACCATTTCCAATATCTTCTCTACATAAGTTGTCTATGAATTTGTGTAACATTTCTTTGGAAGTAATCCATTTTTATCACACTTTCCTGATTTTAGTCAAAAACTGTCATTTCTTTCTGTATTTTTATCTAATTTAAAAAAATTACATCGGTGAAATGTTTATAAAAATTGGCACAAATAATCTTCACACATAATCAAGTTAAATGTTATTTTTTAAAAAAGGGGTCCATGAACTCGTTTTCGAGTTAAATCAGTCTGAATGAAAAATAAAAATCAGTCGAAAAATGCAACTTTTCCCGATATGTCACAGTTTGACGTTGCGAAAAATATCATTTTACGTTAGCGACGTCATTACCCCCCCCCCCCCCCCCCCCCCCCCCTTGTAACTGTATCGTATGCCCTTTATCTAAATGGACACGATTTGGCGTTTTTAAAAAGGACATTTTTAGGGAATTGGACACGTTTGGGGGGATGGACACGTTTCTGAGTGTTACAAATATATATATAGGTGGCACATTCCCTTCAGACATGATCACGGTTTTTTAATTCATGTCATGAAATATTTGCCACTGGACAATAAGCAACCAACAATCAATCAATCAATAAATCAATCAATCAATCAATGAATTCATGGCGAAGTAGAGCAATTTTCTTAAAAAAGTTTTAAAAAAATCATCATCAAGTTGCCTTAATTTCCCTTCACAAGGTTTCATAGTACACACTTTTTTGCATGGATGATAAATTATCACAATTTTAAGATTGAGTTGTACTCTAATCAAGGTATCAAAACCATATTTGTTACTCTTTGTTTAAATGAAAGAAACTTGCAATTTCCAAAAACATTTTTTAGGTCCAAAGATTTTAATAGCAGGATATTTAAAAATCAGTGTGAAAACTAATTACAAACTATTCAATTTAATTTGGGACACACTATTTTATTTCAAAATAGCCAGTGACAATTTTTGTTTTAAAATCTTGATTACAATACAATGAAATCTTACCCTTGTAGTCATTCATGCGTAGTAACTTAGTACGCGGAAAAAGTATGTACTATGAAAATTAGAAGGCAAATTCAAACAATTTGATTGGACGAGAAGTTGTAAGTATGTGCTAAGGTACTAACTTGCACAATTGGTTATGAAACAAATCAATTTAATATCCCAGTGACCATCTGTGCTTACTTAGGTACTAACTTGCACACGTGGTTAATGAACTAAATCATTTGATATCCCATTGGCCATCTGTGCTTATGTGGTTTTGTGGAAAGAAAAAAATGTCTATATTATACGGAAAACTGTAAATAAATTTAACAGACTGTCAATGATCTATCATTTACCCTAAATCGCCTTAATGGCGACGAATAGTATGATTCATACTTCACGTTTAATTGTCAGTTTTTGATTGGTACTTACGAGGTTGACACCTGACTTATTGTAGGTAAGTAGGTAAGTAAATTTTATATTTAAAGTCAGCACATTCATACAAAACAAAAGTAACACGGGCCTTTACGAGCTCTTATAACCAACTATAATATAAAACATCAGCAAATGTACAAACGGAAACATAAAAGCTGGCATGCAACATTCAAAACTGTTACAAAGACACAAGTGCAAAGATAATCAGTATCATAGACACAAAACAAAATGAATTGCAGATTATATAATATTGATATAAATCAAGTCATCATAAACAGCATAAAATAGGGATTAAATCAATAGCAAACAATTCAACAAAAATGTCATCAAGAACTAAAACAAGTTGCCTTCTTTAAAAAAGAAATGCAATGCGTGGACCGAATACAATGATTTAATGGACATCCATATATCTCATGTATTCATCCATTTACAACTGTCAGAAGAATACTCTTTTCTCAATGTTCTAGAAAAACAATGTTTATATTGAAATTTGACATAATTCTTATAAAAGTAATCATTTACAATTATTTAGAATAGATAACACATCATAAAAAATATCCTAGGATGCCCTGATATGTGCTGTTTGGGATTATATATTATCTCTCTGACTATATGGATGCAGTTGTAAATGTGGAACTTGATGTAGTTCTGGTGGTGTGGTTATTTAACCATTGTATTTTTTTTTTTACAAAATAAATTAAGGATTTTCTCAGGTTTATTTTAAAAATAACAAGCTTTTTAAAAGACAGTTATAAATTGATAGTATATGCATAATGGAACAAAACAAACGGAAAAAAACGAAAGGTCCATCTCCTTGTTTTCTTTTAAGATATAAGCCATTGAAAATTTGGAGGCAAATTTTTCTCTCTAGTTTGTTCTTACATTTAACATTGGCATCTTCTGTCTTTCAAAAACTATGAAAACTAACAAGGATTTTATAAGATTGTCTAGAGTAGCTTTCAAACTATATGTTATAAAATTATGAGAAGAAAAGAAGGGGTTAACGGGCAAATTTTTTATTGGCACTACATGTATAATACTAGAGGATTCCGAATATCTAACAAAACAAGAGAAGCGAACATCTTTAACCATTTATTTGTTTCTGTATATCGTCTATAAAATCACTAGAAAAACAGATTCTGCCAACCAAATCTCGGGCCAAACGACATTTCTCCACTCGCGACAGTTATATTATTGATGTTGGATGTGTACGGATTGATAATTTAGTCTTAGATGCATGATTTTTTTTATTAGTTGTTAGTGGCTTTGAACTAGCTGTCAGTAACTGCGAGTACTCTCAGATCTGTACTTAGTGTCTTTTTGTTGTTTGGATGTACAAGTACCCGGCCACGTCCACTTGTATTTGTAGTATTTGTATTTTTATCCATCTGATGAGTTAAGCCTCTTTCAACTGATTTTTATAGTTCGTTCTTATGTTGTACTGTTACAGCACTGTCCCAGGTTAGGGGGAGGGTTGGGATCCCGCTAACATGTTTAACCCCGCCACATTCTATA